ATGCCACCTTATGCATTGGTAATGCAAACGACAATGCTCCAGTTTTCAGACGGGCCTCCTACATGATCCATGTGGCTGAGAACAACCCATCTGTAGCCTACATCTTCCTCAAGTCAGAGCCTCTAACCTTGATGTGAGTCCCAATGGTCAAGTCTCTTATTCCATCATAGCCAGCAACTTGGGATCCAGAATTCTGTCATCTTACATATCTGTGAGCTCACAGAACAGGGTGGTGTTCACCCAGCACACCTTCAACCATGAGCAGCTACGCTTCTTCCAGCTCACTGTGCAGGCACATGACCAGGGCTCAACCGTGCTCCATGCCAACGTCAGCCTGCACGTACTGGTGGGCGACCATAGCTGCTCTACTCAGCGTGTGCTCTATCCCACGCTGGAGCCTGATGGCTTGGTGCTCTTCAATATGGTCCTGCGTACCACCAAGCCCGGTTACCTGGTCACCAAGATGATGGCGGTGGACATCGACTCTGGCCAGCAATTCCAGCCTCTTCAGCCTAGTGTTTTGCACCAACGAGGTCTGAACTGTCGAAACTTGGATGACAATGGTGCGAATAGTAAGCTTCTAGTGGTCACTGTACATGATGGTGGATGGCCTGACCTCTCAGCCACTGTCACCCTGCACCTGGTCTTTGCTAATAGCCTACAGGAGGTATTACCAGACTTCCGTGACCACTCTGTGCCCACCCACCCTCAAGCTGAACTTCAAGTTTACCTGATTGCCACCTTGGTTTTGATCTCCATGCTATTCTCCATGCAGTAACTCTGGCAATTGCTCTAAGCCTAAGATACTACTCCAGCACAAAGTCTTAGGTTCTTTGAGCCTGGTCCCTGTTCCGAGCCTGGATCCATGGTTTCCCCTAATTATAATCTGTGAGTTGCACAGTCAGGGAAAACAGTTTAATTTTCTAAAATGTAATGAGCAACTGAGTTCGGGACAAATATTTTCGTGATTCATCTGGGGCCTTGTTTCCACTTTGTAATTCCAGTGAGCCAACTTCCCATCAGGGGTGTTTTCTTTAAAGCATACCTTCTTTTTCTTTTCCTATACAGTTCTCCATACTCAGAGGAAAATAGACACTTTCAGATATCATACCAGAGGCCCTCATGCAACACCTGCCAAAAAGTTGTAGTCAGTTAAAAAGTTCTCATACATGGATGGGATGCTGGTGGCTCATGTCTGTAGTCCTAGCTACTCAAAAGGCTAAGATTGGGGCTGGGAAGGTGGCTCAGTGGTAGAGCGCTTGCCTTGCATGCCTGAAGCCCTGGGTTCGATTCCTCAGCACCACATAAGCAAAAAGAAAAAAGCCAGAAGTGCGCTGTGGCTCAAGTGGTAGAAAGCTAGCCTTGAGCTGAAGAGCTGAGGGACAGTGCCCAGGCCCAGAGTTCAGGCCCCACGACCGGACTCCCCCCCAAAAAAAGGCTAAGATCTGAGGATCTCAATTCAAAGCTAGCCCAGGCAGAAAAGTCCACAACATTTATCTCTAACCACCAAAAGCTGAATGTGGAGCTGTGACTCAAATGGTAAAGTACTAGCCTGTAATCCTAGCTACTCAGGAGGCTGAGATCTGAGGGTTGTCATTCAAAGCTAGCCCCAAACAAGAAACTCTGTGAGGCTGTATCTCCAAATAACCAACAAAAAGCTGGATGTAGGGCTGTGGCTCAAATAGTAGAGTGCTAGCCTCACAAAGAAGCTGACAATCAATAACCAGGCCCTGAGTTCAAGCAGGACACACACACACACACACACACACACACACACACACACAGCTCTCATACAACTCTTCAAAAATGGATATAGTAGGAACAATTCTGTGGCTGATAGGTGTATTCCCTACAGATTTACAAAGCAATGAATGTGTAGTTTTACCTACAATGTGAAACATTGGACATTGTTATTGGCTCTTCTAAGAAACTAAAGAGATTTTTTTTACCACAAAATTCTTGTTCCTAGCACTTTTCTTTGACCAATACCTTTTACAGCTTGGACATAGTCTAAAAATTAAAATAGACATGTAAGTTGGGTAAGGGTAGCTCACACCTGTAATCCCAACTACTCAGGGGGCTGGGATCTAAGCATTATGGTTCAAAGCCAGCCCAAGGAAGAAAGACCATGAGACACTTATCTCCAATTAACTATCAGAAAACCACAGGTGGAGCTGCCACTCAAACTAGTAGCATGTTAGCCTTGAGCAAAAAAAGCTTGGGGACAGCACCCAGGCCCTGAGTTCAGCCCTGTAACCAATAAAATTAAAATTAAAAAGATGTGTAAATAAGCTTTTAAAGCAAAAGAAGTTCAACTAAAATTAGTGATTTTTTTGCTAATTTACTGGTATAGTTTCTATACTAATCTGCTGTTTTCTTTCTTTACTTTTGAATCTTCTGTTTCTTTGCTTTTTTCCCAAAGTTCCTTTAATGAGATATCTTAAACTGTGTTTCTTCCTGGGCTTTTTGTAACTTTTTATGCAATGATCATTTCCCTAACACAAGGTCCATCAAAAGATTTTAAAAAAAAAACAGATTCTTTAAAAAAAAAACAACAACCAGATTCTTCTTGCTCATAACACAGGATTTTCAGGATTAATCTTTTTTTTTTTAATCTGTCATGGGGCTTAAACTCTGGGCCTGGGTACTGTCACTCAGCTCTTCAGCTCAAGGCTAGTGCTCTATCACTTGAACCACAGTGCCACTTCCAGTTTTCTAGTGGTTAATTGGAGATGAGTCTCATGGACATTCCTGCCTGGTCTGGCTTTGAACCGTGATCCTCAGATCTCAGCCTCCTGTGTAGCTAGGATTACAGGCATGAGCCACTGGTGCCCAGCACAGGATTAAACTTTATTGAAGGTCATTCAGCAGGTTCCTCTATTAAAGAAACAATGTTTTCCAGCACCTTTCTTACACTCCTAATATATAATTTAATTGTCTTTTTACAACCCTAAAATAAATCTAGAGGTCTTATCATCATTCTTCTACCTATAGGGTGAAAGCAATCTTCTTGAATTTTTAGACAGAATTGCCAGTCTGGTTTGCATATGAAGTGTACACACCGTGTATTGTATCAACTATTTAAAAATATTAGTTAAAACTCAGCACCAGTGTCCCATGCCTATAATTCTAGCTACCCAGGAAATTGAGATCTCAGAATCATACTTCAAATCCAGCCAGGGAAGATACTCCCGAGACTCTTATCTCCAATTAACTAGCAAAAGGCCAAAACTTGAGGTATGACTCAAATGCTAGAGGACCATAATTCAATCACCAAAACACACACACACACATACACAGAGAGAGAGAGAGAGATACCAGTTAAATATCCTTTAGCAACTTCTTAGGTTAATGGCTAATTTGAAAATTGCTGATAGAGATTTTTGTAGTGACATTTATTGTTTGACCTTTCTACATTTATTGTTGTGCTCTTTCTGCTGCTCTTCTGATCAAAATATTGAAGGAGCTAAAATGATCCTTACAATATATGTGTACCTTTAAAATAGTCTGCTTGGGGCTGGGAAGGTGGTTCAGTGGTAGAGTGCTTGCCTTGCATGCTTGAGGCCCCTGGGTTCAATTTTTCAGCATCACATAAACAGAAAAGGCTGGAAGTGGTGCTGTGACTCAAGTGGTAGAGCACTTGCCTTGATCTGAAGAGCTGAGGGACAGCACTCAGACATAGAGTTCAGGCCCCACAACCAACAAAAAGAAAAAATAGTCTGCTTTAAAATGGAATCTTCTCTCATTGGTGAAAAAGTTGGGGTGGAGACTTGCTTTTGGTTGATATCAATCCATACTTTTCAAGTGTTTTATCTTAAACTACAAAAGTGGTTTTTTAAATAAGATAATCTCTGGTGAAACCTGAGGAGCAGGACCCAGTAGTAGAATATCTGCCTAGCAGGTATGAGGTACTAAGTTCAAATCTAGTAGTGTGCAGGGGTGTGCATTTGCACACACACAGTATGCATACCAAAAACTCACTTTAATTATAAAAGCAATCTTATTACTAAAGTTTCAGAATATTAATTTCTTTTTTTCCTTCTTTTTTCTTTTCTTTCTTTTTTTGCCAGTCCCGGAAATTGAACTCAGGGCTTGGATACTGTCCCTGAGCCTCTTTGTGCTCAAGGCTAGCACTCTACCACTTAAGCCACAGCACCACTTCCACCTTTTTCTGAGTAGTTAGTTGGAGATAAGAGTCTCATGGACTTTTCTGCCCAGGCTGGCTTCAAACCATGATACTCAGATTACAGGCATTAGCCTGTTAATTTCAAATCATCTCAGTATGCACCCAAAATTGTGCATATGTAGAAGCACCAACTCTATAGAAAGCACTATAGAAAACTACTATAATGATTAATTAGCTTAAATAAAATAAAGCAACTTCAAATCAATTATCTTCTTTTGCATTAAAAATAATTTCAAATGACTGTAGTTCTTACTGAATATATATATGTGTGTGAATATATAATATGGCTATAAAGTCTCAGGGCATGATGGGAAATAATCTGGCATATTTGTGGTTAGAGGAGCAAATGTATTCCAGAAAGGTGAGTAATTTAACATAATGCTAACCCCAAAATCTGCCCATTCTTTGTATTTTTATAAGATCTTCAATACATCTCACACTCCTTGGCAACTTCTTTTAAAATATGGACTTAGAGGCTAATTAAATAAATTCAAAACAAAAGTAATTTTTAAAAGATCAGTATTTTTCTCATTTATCTAGCAGAATATTTCAAATCTAAGCAACGTGTATCTTGGTGCAGTAACTGATTAGGACTCTAAGTGCCGCTGTTCCCCTACTGTGAAACAAAAGCCACCAAAAAGGCTACCCGATTCTCAGGACTCACAAAGAGAGACCCCACAAGCCAAGTGCTGGGCTGCAGAAAAATTCTGTCCCTACATTTGGAGATCTTCAGTTTTCCAGAACCTCAGCCAAAAGGTTAACAAGATACACATGCCCAGTGAAGATTCTGACAGGATTCTGTAAGAGAACAACAATGGCGGATTGGAAGAATCACCAAGGACACAGTAAGCTGATGCTGTTGTTCATGCTGCTGGGGACACTGTGGGAGACGGGGACAGGACAGATCCATTACTCTGTGCCAGAAGAGACCAACAAAGGCACCTTCGTGGGGAACATCTCCAAGGACCTGGGATTGGAGACCTGGGAGCTGGCGCAGCGCGGAGTCCGCATCGTCTCCAGAGGTAGGACGCAGCTTTTCTCTCTCAACCCGCGGAGCGGCAGCCTGGTCACCGCGGACAGGATCGATCGGGAGGAGCTCTGCGCCCAGAGCCCCCGGTGTCTTGTAAATATTAACATCCTAGTTGAGGATAAGGGAAAGCTTTATGGGATAGAAATAGAAATAACTGATATTAACGACAATAATCCGAAATTCCATGTTGAATATCTGGAAGTGAAAATTAATGAAATCGCCGCTCCTGGCGCGCGCTATCCACTCCCAGAAGCTGCTGACGCGGATGTGGGCGTGAACTCCCTGCAGAGCTACCAGCTCAGCCCCAACCACCACTTCTCTCTGGATGTGCAAACCGGAGACGACGGAACCTTAAACCCAGAGCTGGTGCTGGAGCGAGCCCTGGACAGAGAGGAAGAGGCCATTCACCACCTGGTCCTCACCGCCTCCGATGGCGGCGACCCTCGCCGCTCCAGCACAGTGCGCATCCAGGTGACAGTGTTGGATACAAACGACAATGCCCCGGTTTTTGCTCAGCCCATGTACCGAGTCAAAGTCCTTGAGAATGTGCCCCCGGGCACCCTGCTGCTTACAGTTAGAGCTAGTGACCCGGATGAGGGAGCCAATGGAAAAGTGGTGTATAAATTCCGCAAAATTAATGAAAAACAATCTCCCTTATTCCATCTTGATGAAGATACTGGGGAAATCTTTGTAGCAAAACCTCTAGATTATGAAGAATGTTCTTCATATGAAATGGAAATACAAGCTGAGGACGTGGGGGCTCTTCTGGGTAGAACCAAAGTGCTAATTATGGTGGAAGATGTCAATGACAACAGACCGGAAGTGGCCATTACCTCTCTGTTCAGCCCAGTGTTGGAAAATTCTCTTCCTGGTACAGTAATTGCTTTCTTGAATGTGCATGATCGAGACTCGGGGAAGAATGGTCAAGTTGTCTGTTCCATTCAGGAAAATCCGTCTTTTAAATTAGAAAAGTCAATCGATAATTATTACAGGTTAGTGACATGGAAATATTTGGACCGTGAAAAAGTCTCTACTTACAATATCACAGTGATAGCCTCTGATCTAGGAACACCACCTCTGTCTACTGAAACTTACATTACCTTGATTGTAGCAGACACTAATGACAACCCTCCTACCTTCTCTCATTCCTCCTACTCAGCCTATATCCCAGAAAATAACTTGAGAGGTGCCTCTATCTTCTCATTGACTGCACATGACCCTGACAGTCAGGAAAATGCACAGGTCACTTATTCCGTGACTGAGGACACAATCCAAGGAGTGCCTCTGTCCTCCTATATCTCTATTAACTCAGACACTGGTGTTCTGTATGCTTTGCAATCTTTTGACTATGAGCAGATCCAAGACTTTCAGTTACTGGTGATTGCCAGTGACAGCGGAAACCCCCCACTTAGCAGCAATGTGTCACTGAGCCTGTTTGTGCTAGACCAGAATGATAATGTACCTGAGATCTTGTACCCTGCCTTCCCTACAGATGGCTCCACTGGTGTAGAACTTGCACCTCGCTCCTCAGAGCCTGGATATCTGGTAACCAAGGTGGTGGCAGTTGATAAAGACTCAGGGCAAAATGCCTGGTTGTCCTATCGCCTGCTGAAGGCCAGCGAGCCAGGACTCTTTGTGGTGGGCCTGCACACGGGAGAGGTGCGAACAGCAAGGGCCCTGCTGGACAGAGATGCACTGAAACAGAGCTTGGTGATAGCTGTCCAGGACCACGGACAGCCTCCCCTCTCAGTCACCATCACTCTCACTGTGGCTGTGGCTGACAGCATTCCGGAAGTGTTGGCTGACTTGAGCAGTATCAGGGTCCCGGATGTCCCAGGTGGTTCAGACCTCACACTCCACCTGGTGGTGGCAGTGGCCATTGTATCCTGTGTTTTCCTAGCCTTTGTCATTGCCCTGCTAGCACTCAGGCTTCAGCGCTGGCAGAAGTCTCGCCTACTCCAGGCTTCTGGAAGTGGACTAGTGGGTGTGCCCCCCTCACATTTTATGGGCATTGATGGGGTACAAACTTTTCTGAAGACCTATTCCCATGAGGTCTCCCTTACTTCAGGCTCCCAGACAAGCCACGTTATCTTTCCTCAGCCCAACTATGCAGACATGCTCATCAGCCAAGACAGCAGTGAGAAAACTGATTCTTTGGTAACACCTATAGATTTTCATGAAAGTAAAGGTGAAGCGGCTTGTGCACCGGTGAGTTCAGTTCTTTGATTTATTTCTCAAAGGAATTTTAAGGCATGTCACACTATTTTGCTTATTTTGCTAGTGACAGTATAAAATCAAATGCTAACAATCATGGGTTATTGTCTGATTTGCTTTCAAAAGCCTTGGACAAGAGATTATTCGACCTTTTCTAAGCTTCCACTATTTACCTCCGGTCACGAATTCAGTTAAGAATTACTTACTTAACCCCCCCCATAACTTTCCTATTGTATAAATGAATTGCAAAAAAGGAATTGAGACTTCCATATTCTTGTATTGCCTCAACAGTCATCAAATATATGACATAATTTAAGGATTATGCTTAACCTATAACTAGGCTCTTGAAATATTTTACTTTAAACATCTTGCGAGTTTTATTTCTGCACCAGTACCCATCAAATCTTTGTTATTTCATATATTTCAAAATATAAGCACTTTTAAAGGATGGATCTTGGTAGGCGGTAAGATTGGTCCTGGGTTGTTGTGTGTGTCTGTGGTAATAACCCCCTCCTGAGACCTACACTAATTGAAATATGAAATTTAAATCCTAGAATGAGTAGTGTTTCTGTTCCTTACCCCCCCAAAAAAATCCCAACAAAATCAAATCTGAAGTGTCATTTTAAGCCCTTGAAAGTAGCTTTAAAAAAAAAAAGCAAACATATTTCATTAGAGTTCCAATGGGGTTTTTTAGGTTGTCCATCCATATGAAATATTAAAAACTTTTAGATGATTATTTTAGTGACATATACTAAATTTCATATACACAATTTTAAACAAGTTGATGAATCTCATTAAAATGATTTTCTATCTTTGCTACACATATTATTACTTCTTAAAGCATTTGAGGGCTGGGAAGGTAGCTTAGTGGTAGAGTGCTTGCCTTGTATGCATGAGGCCCTGGGTTTGATTCCTAAGCACCACATAAGCAGAAAAAACCAGAAGTGACACTGTGTCCCAAGTGGTAGAGCACTAGCCTTGAGCTGAAGAGCTGAGGGACAGCGCCCAGACCCCAGAGTTCAGGCCCTATGAGTTTGAATTAAGGTAACCCCTAATTAGATTATCAGTTGAAAATAGAAGACATGATCAATCTTTTCTTCTATAGTGGAAAAGAATATTTCCCAAGGGTAGCCCATCCAGCCAGATGCCGATGGCTCACTCCTGTGATCCTAGCTACTCAAGAGTCTGAGATGATTTGAGAACTATAATCTAAAACAAGCCCAGGCAGGGAAGTCCATGAGACTCTTATCTCCAATTAACCAGCAGAAAATTGGAAGTGGCACTGTGGCTCAAGTGGTAACATGCTAGCCTTGAGCTGAGGGATAGCGCTCAGGCCCCAGAGTTCGAGCCCCATGACTGACAAAAAAGAAAGAATGAAGAAAAAATAGTCCATCCTATGTTGCATATATAGTGAGTGGTAGGTGACTTCATACTTTCTGTAGCATCTTGGAGCACAGAGTAGACTATATTATTAGTACTTAGACTATATTACTTTACAACTTTATAAAACATAAGAAATTTTTCTGGTGGAATATCAGATCTTTGTAATCCCTAAAATATTCTTTAAAGGTTTAATAAATAGGGGCTTAAAGAACAGTGCTTGCCTAGCCTGTATGAGCCCCTGAGTTTGATCCTCCAACTCCACAAAGAAATTCAATGGTATAAAATTAGACAAAATAGCATTATAAGTTTACCATGAGCATATTTCATTCACTTCAAAAGGCATTACTTCAATATAATGTAGGTACATAAAGAAATAATTCAGTCTATTGGAATATCCTTTTGTGGCTTTGTATTGATGGGTAAGTGATTAAGAATCAATTTAATATAAACATAGATATAGGCCAAGTAACTTTGAGATACAGAAGGGCATACCATATCTTGACTACATAAGAGACAAATTATCTTTATAAAGGCAGTGTTGATGCTTTTGGAAAGAGGAAATGTTTGAAACTTGGTACAAGATTACACAAACTTATAAAATAAGTTTAACAGTACCCATACTCTCTAATATATGTAATACAAAACAGCATTAATTACCTGGAAATGTTTGGGTAAAATCATAGGAATGGATGAAAGAAAAATAAAAGCAGCTTCAACATATAGACAAAAAGGACATGAATTTGTGGAATCGGTAGAGAAGTGTCTCAGGACAAGATTACTGTTTTATTCATTACGCTATTACTCAAAAGGACAATAAATTGTAGAAGAGTGCCATGTGTATTCGGAGAATGGTGAAAGAATGGATCAACTTATGTAGGCTTAGTAACAACATATGTAGGCTTATGTAAAAACTCAGTCTTTATAACAATCTGGAAAGAAGGAAAATGGTCCTCAAAAGAGGGCTTTACAACTTATTGTTAAATATATGAACATAAAAATAGGGCTTGATGTTTATTAGACACAACTAGAATTTCCTACCTAGAGTAACAGAGGCTGCTGTTTCCTGCTGTGGACTCTGGGCGCCGCTGTTGGCCAAAGTGGAGAGCCTGGCGCGCTCCCTTTTCTCGCGCAGCCGCACCAGGCTTCCTAAAGCAGCCGGATCTGACTCGCAAGCGCCAGTCTTTACACCGCTTCTTCATAGCAGAAAGAAGGATCTTTTCATGGACTGGAACTGGAAGTAAAGTCTGCTCGGCCTCGGAATATCGGCCATACGGACCTCATTCGTCATCTGGAGTCTGCAGGCTGGTGAGCAAGCCCCCGGGGAGCAAGAAGGATGGGGAGCGGCGCTGCGAGGAGCAGCCGCGCTGACAGGCGCCCAGTGCTCTTTCCCTTCCTGCTGTCTTTGTCTTTGTTCTGGCCCGCGCTCTCAGAGCCGATCCGCTACTCCATCCCAGAGGAGATGCCCACGGGCTCCGTAGTGGGGAACCTCGCCAAGGACCTGAAGTTTAGTACCCAGGACCTACTGAGTCGAAAACTGAGGATCAGTTCGGAGGAGCCTTACTTCAGGGTGAACGCAGAGAGCGGAGAGTTGCTTGTGAGCGGCAGCAGGCTAGACAGGGAGGCGATGTGCGGGAAGAGGCCAGTTTGCGCTCTGGAATTTGAGGCTGTGGCTGAAAACCCATTGAACTTTTATCACGTGACTGTGGAGATCTTGGACATTAATGACCACGCGCCAAAATTCACGCAGACTTCCTTTGAGCTGGTAATAAGTGAGTCCGCACAGCCTGGCACGCGATTTATATTAGAAGAGGCAGAAGACGCAGATATTGCCTCAAACACTCTACAGAATTATAAACTCTCTCCTAACCCTAGTTTTTCTCTGGCAAATGAGAACCAAGACGGCAATAGATACCCAGAATTGGTATTACAAAGAACCTTAGACCGGGAGCAACAAAGTTCTCACCGTTTAGTCCTGACTGCCTTGGATGGTGGCACGCCACCCCTGAGCGGGACTGCTGAGCTCCGGATCCAGGTCACAGATGCCAATGATAATGCCCCTGTATTCAGCCAGGGACTGTACCGAGTCAATCTTCCGGAAAATGTGCCTCCAGGCACTACGGTGCTACGGGTGACAGCCACGGATCAAGATGAGGGCCTCAATTCGGAAATCACGTACTCCTTCCTCAGAACCGAACACGTTTTTAGTCTGAATTCAAAAAGCGGGGAAATTACAACTCAAAGGAGCCTGGATTTCGAAGAAATCAAGGAATATTCTGTAGTGGTGGAAGGGCGGGATGGTGGAGGACTCGTTGCACAATGTACAGTGGAAATTAACCTTCAAGATGAAAATGACAACAGCCCAGAAATTACATTCCATTCTCTACTCGACATGATTCTGGAAAACGCAGTGCCCGGAACCATAATTGCTTTGATCAAAATACGTGACGAAGATTCTGGAGACAATGGGGAGGTTAATTGTCAACTAGACGGTGAAGTTCCTTTTAAAATCATCTCTTCTTCCAAAAATTCGTATAAGTTGGTAACGGATGGTACCTTAGACCGAGAGGTAGCTCCTGAGTACAATATCTCCATCACTGCCACGGACAGGGGCAAGCCGTCCCTGTCCTCAAGCAAAAACGTCACTCTACGCATTGGCGACGTGAATGACAACGCTCCGGTTTTCCACCAGGCCTCCTACGTGGTCCACGTGGCTGAGAACAACCCTCCCGGAGCCTCCATCGCCCAAGTCAGCGCCTCCGACCCAGACCTGGGACCCAACGGTCAAGTGTCCTACTCCATCCTGGCCAGCGACCTGGAGCCAGGCGCGCTGTCGTCCTACGTGTCGGTGAGCGCGCACAGCGGGGTGGTGTTCGCCCAGCGCGCCTTCGACCACGAGCAGCTGCGCTCCTTCCAGCTCACTGTGCAGGCGCGCGACCAGGGCTCGCCCCCGCTGCGCGCCAACGCCAGCCTGCGCGTGCTGGTGGGCGACCGCAACGACAATGTGCCGCGCGTGCTCTACCCCGCGCTGGAGCCCGACGGCTCGGCGCTCTTCGACATGGTGCCGCGCGCCGCCGAGCCCGGTTACCTGGTCACCAAGGTGGTGGCGGTGGACGCCGACTCTGGACACAATGCCTGGCTGTCCTACCACGTGCTGCAGGCCAGCGATCCCGGCCTCTTCAGCCTGGGGCTGCGCACCGGCGAGGTCCGCACCGCTCGCGTCCTGGGGGACAGGGATGCGGCCCGCCAGCGCCTGGTGGTGGCTGTGCGCGATGGTGGACAGCCGCCCCTCTCGGCCACCGCCACTCTACACCTCATCTTCGCAGATAGCCTGCAAGAAGTGTTGCCAGACCTGCGCGATGACCCTTCGCCCTCGGACCCTCAGACAGAACTACAGTTTTATCTGGTGGTTGCCTTAGCCTTCATCTCTGTACTCTTTCTTCTTGCTGTGATTCTGGCCATCACCCTCCATCTACGAAACTCTTCCAGCCCAGCTGCCTGGGGCTGCTTTCAGTCAGGTCTCTGTTCCAAGTCAGGGCCCATAGGTGCCCCCAATTACAGCGAGGGAACTTTGCCTTATTCCTATAATCTATGTGTTGCACAGTCGGGGAAGACAGAATTAAATTTCCTGAAATACAATGAGCAGTTGAGTTCAGGACAAGACATTCTTTGTGGTGATCCATCTGGACCCATGTTTCCACTTTGTAATTCCAGTGAGCCAACCTCCCATCCTGAGATTCTAACACCGGTGAGTTCTGTTTAAATGTCTACTTCTCCTCATCCATGAAATTACCTATATTTACAGGCAAATACAGTGTGTATCTTTTCAGGTATAGTGAGTAGTTGTCTTTAAAAAGTTATTCTCACTCTAAAGTGGTACTTCTATTCTTCGCAGAGAGGAGTGAATCTTTAGTGACTATTGACATCAAAGATGTCAGGGAAAGTGATGAGGTTGCACATACAGAACGTAGAGTACTGAGAGTGTTTACTATCAGTAGCAAAAGAATCGGAGATACTTTTTCTCTTTTTCAGAGGTAATGGATTTTACCCATTGATATCTTTTTTTTTTCTTTTTGGATAAGTTCCTGGCCTCAAAACTGTTGTGTAACATAGCCAAGCCTAAGGCTGAAGATTCTCCTGCCTCAGCCTCCCCAGATACTGGATGAGAATACACAACACCATTCTCTCTCTCTCTCTCTCTCACACACACACACACACACACACACAGAGATACACATATGCATACACATACACATACATATATGTGGTATGGAAGTAAGCATTAAATTTTAAATTGATAGGCATTCAATCATTATTTATAGGGGTAGAGGAATCTTTTTCTACTAAGGGACATTTGGATATGAGATCATCCACAGGTCTAGATTTATTGAATTTCACTTTTTAAAGTAGCTCATAGCTGGGTGCTGGTGGCTCTCACCTGTAATTCTAGGTACTTAGGAGGCTGAGATCTGAGCGTTACAATGTGAAGCCAACCCAGGCAGGAAATGTCTGTGAGACTTTTATCTCTGCTACTGGGGAAAAAAAAACAGAAGTGGAGGTGTGACTCAAGTGGTAGAGTTCCAGCCTTGAGCAAATGAGCTCAGGGACAGTGCCCAAGCCCTGAGTTCAAGTCCCAGGATCTGCACCAAAACAAACAAAACCAAACCAAAAACCCAGCTCAGAGATTATTAAATTTCAAACTCTATACCTACAATTGCCTTGACAGGGTCAGACCAGGATTTTCTAGGCCCTGGAAACTATTGCTGAAGTTAGTGAAGGAAAATACAGCAGTTTCTTTGCTATAGAACAGGGACCTTTGGCTGGACCTTTTGTTTTTGGCAGTGTCCCTGTTTCCTTATTCATACTAAATACAATCATGATTTTGACATCCCCTCTTTATAAAGGTATGAAAAACTATATGTGTTTATTTGTGTGAATGAGAAAGACTCGCTAAATTGGTCAGGTCCAAATCCCTAAGTTTTCTCAGATTTTTTTGAATGCAAAATCCTAAAGGAAATGAAATACTGGAGTTGAGGGCATAATTCAATGGTAGGACACTATTCAGTATGCTTCTGGTCTTAGGTTTAGTACCCAATAGAGAAAAAAGGTGGAGGAAAAGAAGAAAAGAAAAAAGGAAATGTCTCTATTTCTCATGCTTTCATTGCTGACATACTGTCTTTGAAGAAAAAAAGTGGTAAAAAGATACCAGATTTGTCTTAGAATTTGGAGCCCTAAACATTAAGTAACCAGATGTTTCCCATCATTCCTGTAAGAAGGAAAGAAAATTCTGAGTTATTACATTTTTAAGGCAAAAACTACAGTCTGTCATACTTCAAAGTTGCCATTATATAGTATAAATCATTTTGTTAGTTTTCCTTTTGATAATAGCTTCTTTACACATTGTGTTTTTTGCTTTTCTTTTTCAGTTGTGAGGCTTGAATTCAGGGCCTGAGTGCTGTCCCTGAGTTCTTTTGCTCAAGGGTAGGGCTCTACCACAGCATCACTTTTGGTTTTTGAGTGGTTAATTGGAGATAAGAGTCTCATGGGGGGGCTGGGAAGGTGGCTCAGTGGTAGAGTGCTTGCCTTGCATGTCTGAGGCCCTGGGTTCGATTCCTCAGCACCATATAAGCAAAAAGAAAAAAGCCGGAAGTGGCGCTGTGGCTCAAGTGGTAGAGC